ACAGGGATCTTATTTCATCACATCAATTTAATCTTCTTTTAAGTAGACATAGATAAAGCTTGTGTATTTGCTGAAGAATACTTCACTCACTAAAAAATAATGTATAAATACAAGGGAACTCTTCAGATGTAAGATGTAGAGTGCTCATTTTTAAAGTGACAGAAATCAATAGAACTTGTCGTTAAAAGGCAGATCTGTGTTATATAGCTATAGATAAAATAGTCCAATGAAGATGGAGACTTAGAAGGGCTACTCTGGGGGTAGGCTAATGATGCCCGATTATTAGCATAGTGTAAAAGCAATGAGTAGAAAACAGGGGGCTGGAGTAAGTTGAGTGATTGGAATTATTACAGACTTCAGGGAAATTCAAGATGGTGGAATCAGGCAGAATGCAGAGTTCACAAAATATTTTAAGATAGGTGAAGGTAGAAGCAGAAATGTTAAGTAAGAAGGTTAATATAACAAACCCTATAAACATATACTTGGTCTCCTTTCTCCTCTTGGGTTCTTTAAAAGACATAAAATCATATACAATAAAATTATAGTAATGTATTGTTAGGTCTGTAACATATATGAATGTAATGTGTATAAAATTATAGCATAAAAAAGGGAATTGGGAATACAGTATTTAGGAGGAACATTTTCATATCTCATTGGAATTAAGTTAGTATAAATCTGAAGTAGATTCTGATAAGTTAAGGTGAGTATATCTAACCCCTAAAGTAATCACTAAGAAAATAATTCAAGAGAATATACTGAAAAATTATTAAAGTAATTAAAATGTTACACAAGAAAAATATTCACTCAATGTAAAAGAAAGCAGTAAAGGAAGAACATAAGATATATAGAAAACTAAAAGTAAAATGGCAGACGTAAATTCAATCATGCCACTAATAACATTAAATGTGAATACATCAAGCAATCCAATAAAAAGATACACATTGTCAGACTGGATTAAAAAAAAACAAGGTTCAATGATATACTGTCTACAGGAAACACACTTAAGATTGAAAGACACAAAACAGTTGAAATTAAAAGCATGAGAAAATATATATCATGAAAATAGCAACTATAAGAAAGCTGGAGTGACTATACTAATATAAGAAAAAATAGATTTTAAAACAAAAAATGTTACTAGACATAAAGAGGGACATTTTGTCAATCCATCGGATGAAATAACATTATAAATATATGTGTATTTAACAACAGAGCCCCAAAGTATATGAAGCAAAACCTCAAAGAATTGAAGAAAGAAATAGAAAATTCAACAATAATAGTTGTACACTTCGATATCCCACTTTCAATAATGCATAGAACAAATAGGCAGAAGAACCAGAGGGAAATAGAAGACCTGAACAACACTATAAACCAATTAGACCTAATAGACATCTATGAAATATTCAAGCTAATGACAGCAGAATACACAATTCTCAAATTTGCATAGTACATTTTCCAAGATAGATAACATATTAGGCCACAAAAAAAAGTCTCAATAAATTTTAAAGGATTGAAAATCATGGAAGTCTATTTTTGGCTACAATAGAATTAAATTAGAAATCAAAAATGGAAAGAAATTTGGAAATTGACAAATATGTGAAAATTACACAATTCACTGTAAACAACTGGTGAGTCAAGGAAGAAATCAAAAGGGAAATTAGAAAATTATTTGAGATGAATGAAAATACAACATACCAAAATTTGTGAGATGCATTTACAGCAGTGCTTGGAGGGAAATTTATAGCTGTAATTGCCTATTTTTTTAAAAAAAGTATCAATTAATATGCTAATCTTCCATCTTAAGCCACTAGAAAAAAAAAGAGCAAACTAAACCTAAAGAAAGAATAAGGATGGAGATAATAAAAATTAGTACAGAAATTAGTGAAACAGGGAATAGAAAAACAATAGAGAAATTCAACAAAACCAACATTATTACATTGAAAAGATCAACAAAATTGACAAACCTTACATAGACTGACCAAGAAAAAAAGACAAAAGATGCAAGGTAATAAAATCAAGAATGAAAGAGGGAACATCACCACTGACCTTACAGACATAAAAAATATTTTAACAGAATACTATAAATAACTGTATACTGTATACCAACCAATTAAATAACTTAAATGAATGAACATATTCCTAGAAAGACACAAAAATGTACTCAAGAAAAAATATAAAATATACCATATTTATTATAACAAGTAGAGAGATTCAAAAATAATTTTAAAATTTCCCACAAAGAAAAGTCCAGGACAAGATGGCTTCATGGGTAAATTCTATCAAATATCTGAAGAAGAATTAAACCAATCCTTCATAAACTCTTCCAAAAAAAAAAAATAGAAGAAGAAGGAACACTTCCCAGTTCAAACCATTAAACCAAGAATATGATAAGAAAAATAACTACAGAACACTCTTTCTTATGAGTATAGACACAAGGATCTTCAACAAAATGCTATTAAACCAAATTCAGTGACATATAAAAAAGACTTTACATCATGACTAAATTATATTAGTCCAAGGAATGCAAGGTTGTTTCAACATACAAAAAGCAATCAATGTCATATACCATATTGATATAGTAAAGGGAAAAAAACTACACAATTATCTCCATAGACACAGAAAAACACATTTGGGAAAATCCAACACCCTTTTCTAGACAAAAAAACTCAATATCAAGGAAGAGAAGGGGACTTCCTGAACCTCACAAAGGGCATCTACAAAAATCCCACAGCTAATATCATAGTTAATGGTGAAAGACTGAAACTTTTCCTCTTAAGATCAGGAGCAAGACAAGGATGTCTGCTCTTGCCACTTCTGTTCATTGTTGCACTGGAGTTTCTAACCAAAGCAATTAGTCAAGACAAAGGCATCCAGGTTAAAAAGGAAGAAGTAAAACTATCTCTAGCTGCAGATGACATGGTCTTGTATATAGAAATATGAGGGAATCCCCTAAAAAACTATTAGAGCTAATGACTGAGTTCTGCAAGGTTGCAGT